TATATATATATATATATATATATAACACACACACACACACACACAAACAAGTAGATAGAATAGAAAAAAATAGAAAGCTAATGTTTTTTTTTAATAAAAAAGATAAATATAGATAAAGTAGAATTAAAATAGAATAGAAAGTGCTAGAGTTAGAGGGTCAACTAAAAGGTGTTTGTTTTTAAATTAATATCTTGTTAAAATATCTGCTCCAGCTCATCAACATGAACAGCATTTGACATTTGTTTTACTATTGAAACACATTTAAGGAGCTTTGTTTACAAGCGCTTGACAGCATTAGACAGAACTGTGTAAATGCCAAACGACCGAGCTGAATACAATAACTATTTGTAAAAAAGACAATGCAAAACAAAATTTAAATCTAGCTAGTCAAAGACTGCAAAAATGTGCTGTGCACTGTAAAAAATACATGAAAATTTGAAATTTACACACAAAAAAAGATTTTTACAAGAAAATACTAATTCAGGTTTTACTGCTTCTTTATAGTTATTTGTGAAATATACTAGCAATTTCAGTGGGAAAATTGTTTGTACATTGTTTTTCTTTTCCGGTGTACTTTAAAAACCGATAGCTGTTGTAGCAGTTTAACAGATTGAACTTACATTGACAGTAAAAATTTATATTTCATTAACTGAAATTGTTAATAGTGTACAAAATCTCAGTTTTCTACTTTCATAATATTTTGACATCCACCTTAAAAATCAAAGTTCATCACAAGTAGCTTTTCCACAAGCTGAGGTAAAATAATGCACTAAAACTGACACTAAAGTAATGCGGTAAACATTACTTGAACAACATGTTACATAAAACCCTAATGAAAAGAGAAAAAAAAACAAGAAGAAACAGTCGCAATGAAAAATATAATGTCACTGTTAATTATAAAATGAGTTGTTCTTTTTCACTTCTGAAAACTTTGTTTTATTGTAAATTACATGAAATGTCCTATTAGATCTATTACAGTTTTTCATTATATAATAACTTGACATTAAACAGGTTTTTACCATTAAAATTATGATCAGGTCTCTGTCTCTCTGCACTGTTGATTGCATTGGCAAGATGAGCAATTACTTGCTTTTAACTGATATTATCTGGTATTTTTAATTATTGCAATTTTCTGTAGGGCTGACGGCTGTATCTGAAGGATGCATTTTGAACTCGCACGCACATTTGGATTTTCACTGAGATCATGTTAATTCGATTCACCTGACAGACAGTTTCAATTAATCTCCCGCGGAGCTCCATTGTTGTCAGCCGCATAGTTGTTGAGCGTTTGTTGTCGTGGCTGCGGCGATGCGACGGCTGTCATGGCTGTCATGGCAGTGCCGGCAGGAGAAACTCCTATCTGAGTCTCTCCCAGATGAAAGAATGCTTTCCTCTCGATCTGTCCCTGGGATCTTGTGTGCATGTATGGTTTTCAAGGCTTACATAAAGATGTCAGTGCTTTTGATGGCCTCGTGAACTCTGTGATATTTTCACTGCTTGGCCGTCATTGTGTCGTGAAGGATTAAAGAATAAAGTTGCAAAGGTGTAAATTATTAATTATTGACACTATGAGCCATGTGTTTTCCAAAGATACAGTCACTAACACACACTCTGGCATTTCCAATTACAGCTCAGTGATTAGTGGCTCTCGTGTTGATTAAGAGGGTTTGGTTCATTTAGAGTAATTATGTCCGGCACTCTCTAAAGTCACTCAAACCTCTCATAGCTAATCAAATGCCTGAGTGGCGTCTGAGAGGCCAGACGCTTTTCCAGGTACTTATCCTTCAACTGATCGCTTATTCATCTGATGCCATACAGCTGGAGTGCGCGGTTTTGATGAAATGTCTGTGTGCATTTTTATTTATTTTTTTATCACAGTACACATTGATTCAAAGCAGCTTTACAGGAAATCATGATGTTAATGTTTATAATATCTTAATATCCTCATGCCTTATAGTTGCATTTAGCAGATTAGAGCAGGATGATGAAACAATCAAGGCTTTTGCAGTGCCAAAATCAGTGCTTCGTACAATTTATAATTCATAGTTTTCATGTGATGTCACACTAAATTGCTTAAGTGTTTTCTTATAGAAAACCATTATAAAGAACATGCTTAAAGTGGCTTAATGCATTAATTCAGTGATATTGAAGAGCTAAGTTCAGTATTATGCAGAAACTTTAAATTCTAGGTTCATCTGCTTGGCTGTACATACAGTGGGTACGGAAAGTATTCAGACCCACTTAAATTTTTCACTCTTTGTTATATTGCAGCCATTTGCTAAAATCATTTAAGTTATTTTTTTTTCCTCATTAATGTACACACAGCACCCCATATTGACAGAAATACACAGAATTGTTGACATTTTTGCAGATTTATTAAAAAAGAAAAACTGAAATATCACATGGTCCTAAGTATTCAGACCCTTTGCTGTGACACTCATGTATTTAACTCAGGTGCTGTCCATTTCTTCTGATCATCCTTGAGATGGTTCTACACCTTCATTTGAGTCCAGCTGTGTTTGATTATACTGATTGGACTTGATTAGGAAAGCCACACACCTGTCTATATAAGACCTTACAGCTCACAGTGCATGTCAGAGCAAATGAGAATCATGAGGTCAAAGGAACTGGCTGAAGAGCTCAGAGACAGAACTGTGGCAAGGCACAGATCTGGCCAAGGTTACAAAAAAAATTCTGCGGCACTTAAGGTTCCTAAGAGCACAGTGGCCTCAATAATCCTTAAATGGAAGACGTTTGGGACGACCAGAACCCTTCCTAGAGCTGGCCATC